ATGAATAAGCTACAATCTATTATGTTAAAATTGTTGTGTGTGTTCAAGAATTAATTATGTAGTATTGCATTTTATATACTTATATAAGATAAGATTAGTTAGTTGTAATAACATTTTTTTTTCTTGTAAAGAAGGACAATTTTTTCATGTATAAGCATTCAAAGAATATTTTTTTAAATGTACATATTTTTTCTTTGCACCAATTTATAGCATATTTAATCTTGGATAAATATTTGGGAATGGGATTAAGAAAAATTAATGCATAATTGGTTGAGATACCTAGAATTCTAATTAATATAGTTGTTTTAAAAATATGAATTCTAGTATATTTTACCAAAAATATTGTATCGAACAGAATTCCGGTTATCTCAGTTAGAATTCTAATTTTAACTTTTTGGTATTTTATGTCACTTATTTTGCTTTATTTGTTATAAATTTGTTTTGCAATCAAGGAAATGAATAAGCTACAATCTATTATGTTAAAATTGTTGTGTGTGTTCAAGAATTAATTATGTAGTATTGCATTTTATATACTTATATAAGATAAGATTAGTTAGTTGTAATAACATTTTTTTTTTCTTGTAAAGAAGAACAATTTTTTCATTTATAAGCATTCGAAGAATATTTTTTTAAATGTACATATTTTTTCTTTGCACCAATTTATAGCATATTTAATCTTGGATAAATATTTGGGAATGGGATTAAGAAAAATTAATGCATAACTTATTTAATTATAGGTTTGCTGTATCAAATTATTCTTTATTTTATGCCGGGTATAAACATATATTGAATATGTGAATATCCTATTCTAATTTAAAAATAAAAAATCTGTAAAAATCTTTGTATTTTAAAATATATATTTTGTTTATACGAAACGTTTTTTTCTTTATATGAAATTTGTTCTTTACTTCTTTATTATTTATTTCATTATTTTTAATTTAAAAACCAATTATTTTCAATAATTTGTTTTTATATCCATCAAGCTTATTTTGATTAAAATGCAGTTATATATATATAACTATTTTTTCTGATTTATATTATTAGTAAAAAAAGGAATTTTTGTTGGATATCCTTTTAAATAAAAAAATTTAATTATTTCTAATATGTATGAATCAAATAATAATTCAATAAAATTAAACAGATTTATGTTCTTATTTAATTTATTAATATTATATAATTTATAACACTAACTCATCATTGAATTCTATTTCATTCTCTTGTTTTATATGTATACTTGTGTGAATAGAGAAAAAAATGTTATATATATTATAAACATGTTTTATAATAATTATATATAATTGTATAGAAAATATGTCAATTTTTAATATAATTATATATAAATTAATATAATTATATATAAAATTTTTTTTTCCGAGTATAAACATAATAGTTTTTAATTTAAAAACCAATTATTTTCAATAATTTGTTTTTATATCCATCAAGCTTATTTTGATTAAAATGCAGTTATATATATATAACTATTTTTTCTGATTTATATTATTAGTAAAAAAAGGAATTTTTGTTGGATATCCTTTTAAATAAAAAAATTTAATTATTTCTAATATGTATGAATCAAATAATAATTCAATAAAATTAAACAGATTTATGTTCTTATTTAATTTATTAATATTATATAATTTATAACACTAACTCATCATTTCCGAGTGTAAACATAATAGCTTCAAGCATAATAGCAGATCAAGATGCTGATCAATTAACAAATAAACTATAATATATATAAATAATAAACAAATCCAAGATTAAATATGTATCATAATCGTTGTAGCTAATCCATTTTAAAGTAATCTATAAAGCGTTATATTCATTTCTAATATAATGATAGATCTGTACGTTTTATATAAGATTCATTACCTGATAAAATCTTTATCACTCACCGATCGATGCCCCGATCTCTCAGTACAAGCAAAGCTGCCGTGCAAAGTCTCCATTATATTTTACTGTACCTTCACTAATTGGCTAATGGCTTAATCGCGGCCGAGGTAGCTGTACCAATAAAAGAAGAAGGAAGACAGATTGATGTGCAGCAGTTGAGTTATCAACTATGTGGTTACATGATTCTGTAACATACAAATACAAGATACAAATTAAAATAGCATTCAAAATAATCAATAATTAAAAAATTAATTTTTATATACATTGAATTTTTCAATAATTTTCCAATTATATATCCATTAAAATAATTATACATTTTCTCAAAATTATCTTTATAAGAATAAATTTTCGTAATGTTTTAAATTAATTTTTTTTTTCATTATTATTTTTAATTATTGAAATAAAACCTAATGAGAAAAAATGATTAATTGTTGCAAGTAAGCAATAAGCTTGCTTACCGCAAAGTTGATCCGTTGCTTTTCCTAAGCCTCCTCTTCCTCTTCCTCCTCCTCTTCTTTACAAAATTGTCAAGCTTGCTTTTCACCTCTCTTCTCTTCCCATTGTTCGGTTTGTGATAGCATCTATCAGTTGAAACAAATAGTTTATTAAAATTAAGTGCAGTTGCAAATAATTGCAAAGGGTATGCCCTGTTTTACACTTACAGTGCTTGCAAATATCATTTATCCTTGTTTGATTTAATAAGGATGAATTAATGTTTATATCGTGTGAGCGTGAAAGCGGAACGCACCTTAAATATCATGAGATATTTTGTTCGTATAGTATTGATATTAATTAGACGTGATACATAGTTCACTGCAGTAGAAAAATAAGAACGCAGGAAATTTGTCATGTTCGAAACTCGCGATACTTTACAAATAAAATTTAGACATTAGAATGCATCTAAGATAGAGAAAGATTTCTGCACAGTTGACTTTATACGCGACATGCTATTCGGCTGCATGAGTATTGTGAAATACGTGCTCGAATTATCCGCATATTAGTGCCAAAACTATATTACACAAAAAATTATTAGACATTTTAATAATTAGATATATATTAATATAAATTTTATTTACCAATTCAATAAGTTGCAACAGCACTCATTTGGAATCAACTATTTCCTCGCATTCTGCAAATAAAACATAAATGCAATGTCGAAGCGATTTCGTTTCTCGCGTTATCAATTTTACACGCCAAAAGACAACGGTGTGCCGTCGCGACATGGTGGCGTCTTTTTCTTAGTGAATATTGAATCTATGATTGCGCGAGTGTCGCAATAAACGACAAATATAGGTTTAATATAAGTTTCAATTATCATTTGATCGATGCCAATCTCGTCTCTTAATTATATTTGCAGATCATTTCATTTACAGATCGAAATGTGTAAATGAATCGTAGTTGTAATTAAGATTAAGAAGGCGAGACAGTTTCGTTTATGTGCGGTTAACTTCGCGTGCCAAAGACGACACTGACGACGCGGCGTTGTGACGCTGCACTTTTCGCTCTCGCGTCGCGTTTATGAATTTTCCGTATTTCGAAATATATCTGATGCTCGAAATGCGGAAATAACAATCATAAAGGGCAAGTGTATATTATAATATACGCTCTTTTTTTATAATTATAATTTCCGTATTGCAGATTGATATTAGAAAATCTCATTGTCAATTATTTAAGCGATATACTTTCGGCGAACAAGTTTTATGAAATATGTATTCGAATGGATTATTGTGATTACTGAATCTATAGTCACGCAGTAATTAAATATCGCGTATGAAAATATATATTCAAGTTATACATTCAGGTATTATATAGGTTTTAATTACCATATTTATCACGCGTTTCCATTTGTCTGAGAGCAAGTCCATTCCGCCGTGTCATCCTCTATCCGCCACATTTCGCGAATAAAATGTGAATGCGATCAAAATGGGGAAGCAGCGTAGTTTTCCGCGGTTAACTTCACGCGAGACGCGATGAGAAACGCGATGCGAGACGCGACGAGAGACGCGACGAGAAACGCGACGAGAAATGCGACGACACATAACGCCACATACTTTCGACCGAATAATCATGTGCTAATACTATACTAAACTTCGTAATACGCGATACTTACATTGTTACGAGAAGTAAAAGCAAAGTTAATTATTGATTACCTTAGTAAAGAAATCCAACGATGAACGATCCTTTCGCACCGTTTCCTCGTCGTTTTATATTCAGCAGAGATTAGAGTATGGAGAAAAAGTCAATCGATTCGAAGACAGGGCTGCGAACTTTTCCAACGTCGTTTTATATTCAGCAGAGTAGAATTTGGAGAAAAGTCAATCGATTCGAAGACAGGGTTGCGAATAGAGCGAATATATTCAACGTTAAAATAACAGGACGTACCCCCGTCTCCTGCTCGAGTCACAACAACGCGAAGTCGCGAATTACGCGCTATTTATATCAACCGTCAACCGGCGAACCCCACCACTCGCATACCAGCCAATGAGCGCGGTGCCTCGCTGTGGATGCTTATTGGCTCGCGTTAGCTTTCGAATTTGGTATATAAACACTACGCGTAAACAATCTCACTCTTTCTTGGAATTTGTGGCCATGCGTTCTAAGAAGATAAGAAATCTACACGTATTTGGCAAGCGCTTTTATAATGTAGCATGATTAGTCCATAATTCACGTTACGTATACTATAGAATTTCAAACATAAAAGAGTGTTTTGACACGGGCTAGAAATTATATTCTTTCCAAAAATTAAAAATCAATTAGAATAAATAAAGAAAGGCTATCGAAAAATTATATGAAAGAAAAATTGAACTTATAAAATAATAAGCAATTATAAATTGTGAATCATTTAAACACCGCGCAAGTATAGAAGTATACTTATTACTAAAAGTTCTTTAATAAAATTTTATTAATCAGTACAACTCCACTGTTTTATTTTATTGTATTGTATTTAAGTATTAAATATATTATAATAATCATTACACTCACTTATGTATGAAATGAAAACATTAGGTTTTTTATATAATATATACGGTGTTGGAACATTAGACTTAACGAAATTATATCGATGGCAGAGAGAAACCTAACCTCTCTGGTTCCATCAACAGCTTCGTAAACCGTGAGTGTCTTAAAACTATTGGAAGATAAAAAATATATTTGGCTTAAGAAAAGATAATATAGTTTTTTCCAGTAAGAGACACAGATGACAGTATAATACAGTGAACATATATCATGTTTTTTTAAATATTAAACGAAGATGAAATAATCGCTGTGTTACTCCTATGTTTCTTGCTGGAAAATATCAATATATATTTTGAAAGTGTTTATTGTATAGTATTTTTTTAATTTTTACATATTTTAGTCAATGTGATGAATTAAAATGATAAGCGATAGTGTTTGGAATAAAGATTTCGACAGTAATATTTAATTCAGCAAAGTTATAATAATTTTATTTTACTGATTCTAGGAATTCTTAAACTATACACACACACACACACACACACACACACACACACACACACACACACACACACACACACGCTTTACACTTTGTCACGTATTTTTTTTTTCTTCCATGTTGAAGTTTGCGGAATTAGCTGTCCAAGAAGTAGTTGTGTTCATGATGCTAAAAATCAAGCTGAGATCTTGGATAGAGAAAGAATGAACAGATTATACTTGAACAATTCGTCACAACAATATTGATCGATTCTTTCTCCATCTGAAGTTTCAGACCGATCTCTAGAATCTAGCGTGGACATAAGGATAATTTAGAATATCAAAAAAATACCTAGGAACTCGAGGATTCGGATTGCAGCAAGGGATTCGAAGCATGCGTTAGACTGTGGATTCACGGAAAACGGAGTAAATGGTGAAAGAGAAGAAAATATGACAAAGTATAATGTATATAAATTCATGTACCTGTGCAATCGAGAAAATAATGGTACAGTCAGATTGAGAACGTTCTAGAACTTGAAAACATTTTAGTCAGCGAATAAAGAGTTATAGATATGATGACCATATTTAAAAGAAAATAAAAGATAGATTTTATTCCTAAATATTTTCAAACTAGTTCGTAACTATAAGAAGTCTATGCATTAATTTCTGAAATTTTCGTATGCATATATCTAAGATAATGCAATTTTGACAATAACTACTATACATCCACTCACATTTATGTACATTCTTTTGTGAATTATGTACATTCTTTCGTGAATTTTTATAAAAAGAATGTCACGATAACAGTAGAAAATAATATTCGTAAAATAGAGTAACTGATACTATTTTGTAGTGAGCCTTCCCTATATTATTCTTTCTATAGATATTGTGGCTCTATTTGTAGAAAATGACAGATATTACTTGTGTCATTTTCTTCTGGAATTCCTTACTGGAATCTGTTTTCTGCTAACAATCTGTTTTACACTTCAATTTATTTCACAAAATTGCATTTAAAAATTCTCTAATCTCTTACCTGAAATTTTGAGTAAAAGTATCTGGAAAATCTGAAAATTTTCAGAGAATTTTTTTACAAGATTTCAATAAACATCTTGAACTATGCAATAAACTTTTTAAAATATATATATTATTTTCTCTTTATACTAGTGAAGTTTAGTGTTCTTATTTTATACTACTGTTTATTTTTGTATTTATAATTTTGCAACGAAAACGATCGTGTTTATAGTTTAAAATAGGTGCTGGATACTACGGACGATAATAATATTATAGTAATCATGTAAAATACGCAAAGAGAGATTACTCTTTACACTTTATTAGTTATAAAAATATAAAGCACTTATTAATCTAATCTAATGGATTTGATATCTTTAATCGGAAAACGCTTTCCGATTATGATACCGCAAGACTACTTTGTGACACTGACTAGAAAATAAGATTTTAAATTTTGTTCTAGAAAGAATAATTTCAAAGAAATCATGGCTACACGTTATATGGTACGAAGAGTCCTATGTTCTATTAACGCTTACCATCATACTGCATGGTTTACATGGAGCAAATTCTCGATAAACTCGAAAAACCTACAGAATTTTGGGACAGGAATCCTTACGGGACTGGCGACGTACAGCATATACAGTGATGTAGTTCAGGCAGCGCAGAATGACCTGCAAATTTATAAGAAAACTTTTATGGCAGAGCCTATCACAGCCGTCGAACAATTGCAGAAAAACCCGAACGATATGAAAACAAAAATGGAACTGCTGGTGATGAAGACTCAGGCAGACTTCTGCAGAGTTCTCGAAAAACTGGAGAATGGCAATTCCTTCAAAGTGGATCGCTGGACCAGAAAAGAAGGTGGTGGCGGTATTACTTGCGTCCTGCAAGACGGACAAGTATTCGAGAAAGCTGGTGTTAACGTTTCCGTCGTAACCGGCATGCTACCACCGAATGCTGTCCAACAGATGAAGGCACGCGGTAAGAAGATGGAAGACTCCGTGCCGTTCTTCGCAGCTGGTGTCAGCGCTGTGATTCATCCTCGCAATCCCATGATCCCTACGATTCACTTCAACTATCGTTATTTCGAAGTGGAGAATCCAGATGGTACAACTCAATGGTGGTTCGGAGGTGGTACAGATCTCACCCCGTATTACTTGGATGAGGAAGATGCCAAACATTTTCATAAAACGCTAAAATCCGCCTGCGACAAGCACGATCCTTCCTACTACTCGAAATTCAAGGAATGGTGCGACAATTACTTCAACATTGTGCACCGAGGGGAACGGCGCGGCGTGGGCGGGATATTTTTCGACGACCTTGATACTCCAAGTCAGAACGAGGCGTTTCAGTTCGTCACTTCTTGTGCCGAGGCTGTCATTCCGTCATACATTCCTTTAGTAAAGAAACACAAGAATGATGGTTACGGATATCACGAGAGACAATGGCAACTATTGCGACGGGGTAGGTACGTCGAATTTAATTTGATCTACGATCGTGGCACCAAGTTTGGCCTGTACACACCTGGTGCGCGATATGAGAGTATACTCATGTCTCTGCCATTGAACGCCAAATGGGAATACATGCATGAACCTAAAACCGATTCGAGGGAATCGCAACTTTTGGAGGTACTGAAAAATCCGAGAGATTGGTTGGACAAAGCAAATTCGGACAATGTGCAAGTATAAGTTTTAATTTCTCGAAGTGACTTTCGCGCGATAAATTAAAAAAAATTATGTAAAGGTAATATCATAATATAATCTTAGTACATAGGTGGGATCTAAAATGAAGAAAAATATAGATTAATATTTTGAGAGTTAATTTTTATAGATGTATGAAATCTTACTTTGTTGATCATGTGTTTAATAGGAGACGGAAAGAATTTGAAATGCCATTATCGAACTATGTGTAAATAAAAAATGGACACAATTTTGTACAATATACATGTATTAATTGTAGTAACCGGTCTTGTGTACACTCGTACATACATTGAAATATATATTTTTCGAATAAATCAATATAAAAGTAAAAATAATAATGAAATAGAATGTGGTATATAAAATTTCTCAAGCTGTTTTAACGCACTTAATACGAATTACATTAATTCTAAAAACTTAAATGAACGTTATTTACAATATACCAGGCATTATTGCCAAAAACGAGATTTTTCGTTATGATACATGTAAATATATTTATGCGGAAGTCGGTAGTAATTATATTCAGAATTTCATAAATTTAATTTAATATTCAGTCTTCGATTTACAGAAATTCCATTCTTATCTCTTAATTCGTATTAAGTAATTATACTTACAAAGCAAATATCATCTTGTTAAAATAAAACACGATATCATATTAACTTTAGAGATCATATAAATTCGGAGAAGATATTTATAATGTATAAACATGTATAACATTACATAAACGATAATATTACGATATTATAAAATTGAAAAGTGATAATTATCAAGTAAATTCCTCGATGAAATTAAAAGGAAATATTTCACAGCCAAAATGATTTTACAATCATATCTCCATGTGATATATTTATACATGTATATATATTGGTTATATATATAGAAGAGTATTTATTCAGGATATGATGAATAACTAATGTAGCGAAATTGAGTTAGCTAAATTTAGTATTGAAAAGTCAATACTAAGTTTTTGACACTTGAAAGCCGATATCCATCATAGATCTTGTATAAGATTTATGTATAAGATCCATGAACCGTTTCAAAAAGAAAATCTTACTAGAATCAACATGTCAGCTTGACGTGTCTTGACTAATCGAAAAATATTTTTAGAAGTTTTCTGATTGTGATTGTATTTTGTTGTGTTAAAGTATTATGTTGTGTTAAGTTATTCTCCTTTTGTCGATATATGTATAAATCAATGGATTTTATCTTATATAGTTACATGTATGCCATAGTACAAATACTCGAAGATAGCATTGTGAAGATTATTTAAATCTGTTGAATTTAATTTCTTCAACTGATCGAAGTCATTTCAAAGCTTTACAGTTTTTACTTAGTCATATAATATTTAATTAAAACGAACTACCAAGCTAATTGAAGACTATTTGTAGGCATGATTATTAGTGGGCGAATAATTTTCATTATATACAAAATCTCTAAACGCAGCATATGTAGGAAGAAGACATGAGTATTTAATATATGAGGCGTCTTGAACATGATTCTAATAATCTCATTTACAAATTGCAAAATGCTAGTTTCAAAATTGCGCAGTCTATGAAATTATACATAAAAATAAATACGTCGCTGTAGCAGATGAATGAACAGTGATCTGTTATTATTATACATATATATATAAATTTTATATGTATATGTATATATAATAATACATATATTATATATATAATTTAATAAATAAATTGTATATAATTTATACATAAATTATACAATATATAATTATGTATGTATATGAGATAATACATATATTATATATATAGTTTATATATAAATTATACATAATTTATGTATAAATTGTACAATATATAATTATATATTAAACGCTGGTTTCTTTTTTGACTGGCAAATAGTGGTTCACCGACTCATCTAAATAAATCTCGTCAGCCTCAAATTGTTGTATATCACCCGCAGGTTTCGCAAATGCGTTCATTTCATCGATTAAATTAAGATTATTAATATCACGCGAACTAGACCTACTAATTGACGGAATATCAGCGAGAGAACTAAAGTTCTTCTCCAACAGAAAATCTTTCGACTCGGGTGCATTAAATACATTGTGATCTACATCTGGCAACTGCGATTTCTCACGAGAATTGTTTTCCTCCAAACTTTTGTCGGAGATATAATAGACATTCGATAAGGAACAGGCGTAGGGGGTTTCCGCGTGCGGTGTTAACGTACATGGATTATCACTAGTCAAGCTGTTTATCTCAAAGAGCGAACGTTCCGAATGATCGAATGATTCTTGGGACTCAGGAACTTGTTGCCCGCATAGATTCGAGCTGGTTGTACTTTGTATATCTATGAATGACGGTTTCGAATAGTCACGATATTTTGCGCTCGTTAAGGACGTAAGGTCGTTCAACGAATTACAGTAATTGTTTATAAGCGGTTTTTCGTACTCCAACGGTAAACAATACATACTATTGGAGAGATATAACCGTCCCACATCTCTTGATATGCATTCCTCAGTGGCGATCTCCATCTCATTCACGCTAGGACACCTTTTCCTTGAGAACCGCTCCTGCTGTGCCGCTTCCACATTCTCATAGATCTCCGACAAATTGTGATCGCTCCGTTCGCTAGTCATTTGCGTGACAGTATCTATCTCGGAGCTATACTCTAAACTACATTGCTGGGAGACGTTTCGTAAATGCCACTCTTCATCCGTCTTCGAAACGTCCGCGTCCGAATCTTGTGCCATTCTCCTCGGTTGCGATGTTTCTCTTGTATTGGACATCATAACATTAACATGCGGGTTATCCTGTTGCGTGCTATTATTGATCTTCTTGATGCTGTGCATCAAGTTCTCCTGACCGATAACGAAGCGCATCGGGATTCTTTCCTCGGAGATGCTGCCGCCACTATCCGACAATATATTGACGTTTTTTATATCGTTTATGGGGTTTAACTCGACGTGTATATTGGTATTGTTGACTTTAGCGCTGCTGCTTAGGATGCTGCGTTCTAGACTATTGTTGATCTTTGCGGTAGGCCGAGGTATGGAAACGCAACTGCCACCGTCACTGGTAGCTCCGCCATCGCCCTGCTTCCTCGGGCCGAGGTTATTCTTCTTCGCGGTCGCGTGTCTACGTTGTTTCTTAAAGAACTTCCTAGCGACGCCGCTCTGGTGAGGATTGTAGAACATCTCGACGCAGGCTGACGATGGTTCAGTATAGGTGGTGACAGAATTGTTAGAGTGATACTGATGACGATGCATTACTATCAGATTCGCTGTTTTCGTGTTCACGGAAACGGCAGACATGTTTTCTCGGTTGACCGCCAAGTCCGCGAGCTTAGAGCTGTTGTAAAGCTGTTGCGACTGATTGGTATTCCTCGACGAAGCGACGGAGTTTGTGTCGGATATCGCTTGGGTTGCTTGCGAGTTTGACAACGGTGGAACAAAATTCTGCACGAGAGGCTGCGTCGGAATTACAGAATTCGCGTCGCACACGCTCCTGGTGCGGCAGCAACGGTTCTTCCGCTTTTCCAGCCAGCATCGCATCTTTAGCCATTGACTTCGAACGTCATTACGAGCAATTCCATAGAAGAACAGTACGAAAACACCCAAAGAACTCGTGGTAATGGCATATATCACGGCGAACACGGTCTCCTCGAACGGCATGGAGTCAAACGGCTTGATCGTAACCGTGGCTGCACTACTCCAGGATATCAAATACAACACTAACATTATGACTTGGCCCTTCCACTGCGTAAATTGTGAGTGTTCCGGATCCTCAATATCGGAGGACACTGTCTGCGTGCTGCGCATGCTATTTCTGTCTCCAGAAGGATTTGCGTTTGGCTCCAATAGCTCCAAATCCATGTTCTCCGTTGCCTGAGTACCCTCAGACAATTGCGTGTTCATGTCGACGTTCTGAATCGCACGTCTGATGAGCAAGAGGAAGATTAGCAGGTACGCGATTAAAATTCCAGATGGTATAAAAAGCGCAGCGAGCGCCGGTCCGGATGTAAGGAAGCAATGAGAATAACCGGCGTATTCGCGTAGATTGATTGCGCCAGATATTCCACAAATTATCAAAGCTACACCCCATCCGACCAAGTAAAGTCCTAACAAGGGCTTAGGTAGGGGTTGATCCGGAAGTTCATCGTCGGGTATTACATTGAGGCCTGGTTTCATCAATTTTTTGTGCATATTGCTGAAACAGAAGGATCTCGATGAATATTTTATTTTCTTTGAAGGGCATATATGCTGCATTCAGCAAAACAAGCAGAAACTATTATAAAATTCTTTCATATATGATTGATTTATACATTTATTCCAGTAAGATAAGAGCGAAATCAATATTAAAGAATTTTATATTTTACAGAATTTTACAATACAAAACTTTTCTGCAGAACATAGACGATATATTTACCTGGCAGATACTGCCATCCACAGCAGGCAACACAAGGACAAATAATGTAAAGTAAGACCGACACCCTGACAAATCTCGATGTGCTCTGTTTGCTGGATACCGATGCTGTATAGAAATGATAACAGTGCCATGGCGAACCAAGTGTTGATAATGGAATGTTTTGCCTTTTTAGGCATCGTGATAGACGTATAAGAAATAATGTACGTCACGGACGTAATCATCAAGCAAGTTATCGTCACGAAACTTCCGATGTATATCGCCGGATGTGAGTACCTGAATTTCGCTCCGTGTAAACTGCAAGTCACATGCAATAGTGATAGAATCATAATAAAAAAGAAAACTTTAAAAAAATATATGTATAAAAAGGTCTCGTACCTATTTCCATCCATATAAAAATATGAAATATCCTGCAAAAGTCCATAATATCCCAATCTGTCACAATGAAAAACTATTAGACCATTACTTAATAGGTTAATTAAATGGCATCCATCACTAGTCCATCCTCCTACGTTGTTCAATGTTTCGTCCCATACCACTGGTCTCGGTCTTTTCCCGTTATAATGATACAATGGCGCTTTCAGCATAATGTAAACCGGTTCGGACAGATTTCGTACTGATGTACCAACTGCAAAAAATTACACAACT